CACTTGCAGGCCAATTAGAACTTCCTGAAGTGCTACCTACATAAAGGGCTTGACTTGGAGCATTGAAGTCTTTCTGAGGTGTGAAGCCATTGTAGCTTGAGTCATAACGGTAATAACATCTATTTGCAGTGTGCCCTTCTTTGTTACACACCTGACACACAAATCTTGGACCATTACTATTCCTTCCTCCTCTTCCTCTATAAAAACCTCTGCCTCTTCCATTTCTCCCACGGCTGTTTCCATTGAACCTTCCTCTGCCACCTTGATGGTCATATCCCCTCTTGTCTTGTTGAGATCCAGATTGAACTGAGAGATTAGCACTAGGGTTTGATCCTTCTGAGTTTACAGTTGCAACAGTGGAGAAGGATTCTAGTCTAGCCTCATAGCTTAATAAAAGAGCATGGACATCTCTTAAAGAGTAGGAATCCAGTCTTGAAGTGAGTGATATCATAACCGGGTTGTACTCTTGACCAAGACCAGAGAAGATGTGTAAGATCTGGTCTTCTTCAGACACCCTCTCACCAATGGAGGCTAACACATCACAACAAGATTTCACTTTTCCAAGATAGTCCCTCATGTTCATAGAACCTTTCTTAAGATTTTGCAGTTCCATCTTGTACTGCATTTTCTTGCTTGGGACTGACTGGCAAAGTTGAGAGATAGGGCATCCCACATCTCTTTTGAGGTTTCTAGACCAACCATGAGCACCAACAAATTTTCAGATAGAGAGGACAAGATCCAGGAAGCTAAGAGTTGATCTTGTCTTAGCCATGTTTCAGATTCTGGATTTGGGTTGGTTGTTGTGGATCCTTGAGCATCAGTGGTTGAAATAAAAGGTGCTGGGGCTGTCTTTTGATCATTGATGAAACCCTCGAGGCCATAACCTCGAATAGCAGTGATTACCTGTTGTTTCCGCACCAAGTAATTTGTTTCTGTAAGCTTGGTGGCCAATATCTGGTTTTGGGGTTGAATAACAGCCATCTGGGGAGCAGATGTTGAATCACTGGTGGTTGACATGACGAACGAGGAAGATGGCGAGCAAAAGACAGTGAGAAAAAGGAAGAATGATGAATCAGAAGCAGGTTTGTAAAACCCGCTCTGATACCATGTTGAAAATGCAGCAAGAAGCAAAAAGAAATAACCAAAATATTTTGTTCATTATTATTCAGAATATGAATTCTGCGTACATACAAAATGAATACAGAATACCTCACACATATATATATCCTAGAATGATAGATGGATCTAGATACAAGTAGATAAGGACAATAGAAGAAGATAAAATCCTTAAAACACTATCATTCCTTATCATTAAGTTCCTGAAGCTGTTGGGACTCCTTGTTCTGTATGCAAGACGTGTGACCTGATGACATCATCATGTATGACGTCATTCCAACAATTAGAATATAATATCACGTGTGAGTTGTCTACATCGTTTATACACTAACACCAAGAAAATAAATAGCTCGCTAAAGTTGCCGCTATTTGAGAAATAGCTTTTTTTGGCCGCGTGCCGCTATTTGTATTCATGTGCAATTTAGCCGCTAAATCCCGCTAAATCTCCGCTATAGCTCCGCTATAGCTACAGTGCCATAAACGTTTTAGCCCGCTATTTAAAACCTTGACTAACACTAATTATTATTTCTGAATTAGCTTATTTTCTATTGAAAAGAGTGGAATTATCTTATATATAGGAATTTAATTAGAAAAAATAAATAAATTAACGCTAATAATTAGCGAAGAGAAGTATGATTTGAGGATTGAAAAGAGTAAAGAAGATGGGAGTTGAAGCGAGATCGAGTTATTAGTGATTAACCACCAGCCACATAAATATAAATTGTGTGTAATGGTGTAGTGACTAGTGAATGAAACGAGGTCAACCTCAAATGGGGCTGCCATTAGCCCAATGCCTAACACTAATCTGTCCTTGCAGGGTTAAATCATGTCCTTTCTACTCAAAATGTGCTCCATTACATGATTGATTTTTTTTTAACTTTAAGTGCTCTCTCACAAATTATTATTTTCTCTTTGTTATTGTTAGCCCTGTTTTCATAAAAGAAATGCTATGCTGAGTGAGTGTCCCACTTTTATGCCAATTTCCTCTTCTTCTTCTCGCCTCATTTTTTAGTCTCGTTCAATAGTTTTAGGCAGTTGTATCGGAGCCAACTGTTGGCTCTTTAGCATTATTGTAGTTTTAGGAGGCTTTTTAACTATTTTTCACCACAATGCACGATCCAAATATCGCATCTATGCACCTTTCCATAAAGTAATGCATCCTAATTGTGGCTATTTAAACAGTTGGTTACTATGTAAACCTTTATGAATTTTAGTATAATCTGTTTGTTTGAAAAAAAAAAAAAAAATCAGGGCTCGTTTAATAGGCTGATAGGATAGGATAATGTCAAATATCATAGGTCTGATAGGATAGGATAACGTGGGATATCTGATCATATCGTCTTTTATTATCCTTGAAGGTGCTAAGGTTTAGTCTGGCGTGGCCCGTGGCGGCCCACACAGAAATCATGTATTGGTCAATTAAAACTATCCCCACTTGGAGTTGGAATTTTTTTTTTTATCCCTCACGTCCCTATTTCAATAGTTTACTTTTGTCCCTAAAATTCCTTGACAAATGACAAAAAATCCTTATATGTTGAATTAATTATAAAAATTAGACATATAAACATTTCGTTCTTCCACTTCTTCTACCTTCTTCCCGCGTCAACACTGCAAATTATGCCTAATTTTTTTCTTAAAACAAATTCATTCCTTCTTGAACTCCATGCGTCGGACGCAACTGATGAGAATGTGGGTTTTGCAACTATAAATGCTCATGATCGGGCACAACAAGCACGGACATGGGAGACAGCATGACAAGCTAAGAAGCCCCGACAGACATGTTAAAGTCGCGCGAGACAGCGCAAAGACCAGGTGATGAGAATGTGGTCATCGATCCTTCTGAGCCCGTGGACGCGACGCCCCTTGACCAAGGAAGACGACGCGTGAACAGACGGGAGGGGCCGCGGGATCAGAAAAAAGGGGTTCGAACCCACGTAAAATGGTGCGCGCGTGATGATTGCGCGACGCGTAAGCCGGCAATACGCGTCAGCCGAGTATTGAGGCGCGCGGGAAAGGGACGCGTGAAGAAGAACCGCGTGGATGGATGTTCGCACATGAGGAAGGTGCGGAGGTTCGACGACGAGTTCATGATGAGAGGTTCGGGTGATACGCGAGGAACAACTTACGGCTGGAACAGGTGCGCGAAGATTGGCAATGGCGAGAGTAGTGATCGGCGAGCGAGCAAGGGGGTGGAGGCTAGCGTGCCGACCACCCGCGGGCATGGCGATGCGCGAGGGGGCGAACACGAGCCAGGTGCAGCGAGAGAGCACGCGCCGGATGCGATGGGCGACGCGTGGGCAGCAGATGCACGCGATACCTCAGACGACGAGGAGTAGCGCGCGTTGGGGAAGGATGTCGGATGGAGTGTGGCGCAAGGAAACACGATTACCTTAGCATATTAGGACTTGGGTTTAGATTAGGAGATTCGAATAAAGGATGTGCCTAATTAGTTATTTGGTAAGTCTTTGATTCTAGATATTTAGTTGTCTTAGGAGTTTATTTAATTTCCATAAGTTTAGAGTACTAGTTAGCATAGGATTAGACTTAGTTAACATCTATAAATACTAGCTACTGTCATTCGAATTTTATATTGAAGAAGTTAATAAAAATCGAACGTAAGTTCACCATTATCGTGTGATTAGAATTCATGAGAGTTTTGTCATACAAACCGAGTTTGGCAAGGATTAACACCCGAGCTATCTCAAATCCATGAGAAGATAAGGAGCAATCTGAGTCGTCCACACCTATCGCCGAGAAGGAAGTTGTGCCAAAGCGACTTTCGACGCAAATCGAGTTGAGCAGATATACGATCTTCATTATTGGTGCTCTCATTGAGAGGGTCGATCGTGTATCTTGTTTAAACTTTTTATCTTTCTTTTTCAATTTTTCTTTTCCTGAATTTTTCTTTCCGTGAGTTTTAGATACCCAAAAAAAAATTAAACATGTCCAATCGCGAGAGATTTGAGATGTTGGAAGAGAGTTTGACGTCCATTAGCGATGGCCAGCACACCACCAACGAGAATATGGCGAAGCTCGGGCTAATGGTGCACGATCTTGCCGCCTAGCTCGCACGGGTTACGCGGCGATCGCAAAGGAGCCACCGATCGAGTTCGACATCGGTTAGGTCGAGTAGCCCAGGGTCAAATCAGGAGGACCATGATCGACGGTCGAGGAGCTAATGATGGATTTAATGATTCCAATCACCACTATGTATTGTTCTGCAAAATTCTGTTGGAATTTTATTTTCAGCCACATTTCACCGGTTAGAACTGTCGTTGGAATGATTAAAAAAAAAGTTCAATTAAGAAGGTAATTACTAGTAAATAATAAAAGATGTAGATCTATATATTAATCTTATTTCCTACACTAATAAAATCAATAGTTATAAGAACCTTTACCAATATAATAGATACAAGTACATGATATGATAAACTTTTTATGTCTCACGTGGTGTACTAGCATTGGTGAGTGATTTATAAGGAATTGCAACCTTTGTCATGGGGATTGGGCATAAGTAACTATTTTAATTGGAAATAGTACCTATCAACCATCTCTCCTTCTTCTCCATCTTTCTATCTAATTTAAATTATTATTAGAAAACATGAATAATAAAAAAAATAAAAAAATAATAATACACAAACACCACTATAAATACATGCCTCTCCCTTGACTCCCAACACCCATCAGAAAACAATCCCTCTAACCTCCCAACTAAGTCCCTTCTCAAACTGCCTCCATAATACACAACAACAAACACAAACTCAGCATTATAGTTTTATAAACAATCAAGAAAAGCAAATAGTACAAGAAATTAGAAAAAAA